CCCCAAAACCCCAAAACCCCAAAACCCCAGGAGACCAGAATATTTAAGATGAAATTTCTTGATAATTAAGTAAGATAATATATTATTGAAGGGATAGTTTTACATACCATTAATGCAAACATGAACGAGTGAATGATCAATTAGTGTATATATGTTCAACGGGGTAAATTATTATTAGGGGATTGCTCTTCGCCATACTTCTCCATAACAACGGCAAATGTGATAGCGGGCACAAATTCTGTTATAACAAAGAATGGAATGAAAATCATAGCCCATAGTAACTCATTTGTAGTTTTCAATTAAGTGATTGGGTCATATCCCCCACTGCCGAGGTAAAAGTTAAGACTGCCAGCCATTACATTAGCAATTATAAACACTATCCCGAGAGCGAATGCGAATCTTCCATATCTCTGGTTGAACAATATAATCCTTTTAACATAGAGCAGTATAGAGCACATTAGCAGTAAAGAGACTATAATCTCAAATATTGCAATAAAGTAGAATATGTCCTGGAATTGTTAATCAAAGTTTTATGGGAGCGAGATTGCGTAGACAAAGTATATAATTACGATGAATATTATTGAGGTTACTACAAAGACTTTAATCTGACGCTCAAGGAATTGATTCTGGTTTCCATGTATGAATATTAAGAGATCGTAAACCCACTAATTTGAGAGCAAATACGAGCATATAACCAGGTTAATCGAGGGATAGGTCGATATAAAACCTTGCAGCTTAGGTGAAATGTTAGGTTTGTCCACAAAAAAGTAAAAGGATCGCACTACTAATGAGTACATGATAAGCAAGAGAATTATATAGGCAAAGGTGTTGAATGAGTGCTGCTTGAAGGGTCTTCTAATTTTGAATATGGTGTATAACAATGAGGCGAAAGCCCCTGTGCTGATTAAAATGTTTGATGTATTGTTCATTGATTACGATAATTTGTTTTATATTATTATTTTTTATTAATTTGCAAGTAATATTTTAAAAGAGTAATAATAATCTTATTGCAAAATAATGGATAGAAAATTATAGATAGCAATACTACTTGCAGTACTCTTTAATCTGAGCTATTGTTTGTATTCTGATGATCAATGCTACAATGTTACATGCGATACATTAACTTCTCCTGATTGTGTCAAAACAAGCGAAAACGATAAGACAATTACTCTCAATGTAGTTTATTGCAATAATAGTAATATCCTTTGATCAAGATTGACATTTACCTTTAGATAAACTTTAATTTTGCAAGATAAACGACTAAAGAAATGGTCAATGTGTATAGATCAATCAGTACTATGATCCTAAGAAACTATTCCCAGGTGATCCCTGCAATGATCAAGACTATACAACGACTTGTGCTTATGGAACTTAGTAGTAATATTCATCTCAATGATATTTATAATTAAGGTGTGTGAATAATACTTGCCAAAGTGTTGGTTACAATGGCACATGCTCAAAAACTTTTGATTGTGAAGCTGGATAGTATTGTGATGCAGGTAGATGTTAAAACTATAAGAAACTATATGAAAAGTGTTCTCATAAGTATGAATGCGGGAGAGTGGCTAACTGTCTTTTTAATAACTCTAAAAGCTACCTTGGAATCTGTGTGCCATATTTCAGTATCCCTATTGGGAAAGACTCATACAATAATGTCCTCAATCAAGTAGGAATATTTTCAAGTAAATACAAATATTTTCAATTGAATTTAGATTTCGATGATGATTCTAGGTTACTATGTCAGACTGGATATATGAATAAAGATGGGTATTGCTCGAGCCCTCCAATATCTGTCAATGCAGGTTAAAAATGTGAATTCAAAGATGACTGTGTTTCTTCTGAGCAAGGAACATTTGCTAACTGCTCATGCACATTTAATCAATAATACCCTAAATATTGTGGAATACTTAAAGGAAATGATGAATGGAGAAGAGAGATAGAAATGTTTAAGTAATATTGGAATGCAACTAAAGATATTTGCAATACTGGTGCTAGGTGGCTAGAATGTGGAGGCTAATCCTTTGTCTATAACCAATGGATGTGTGCTTATCATAAGGCTCTTGGTTATGTTGACTATCTTTATTCAAAAGATGGAAATTACACGAATGGCTTGTCTCAATGTTTGGAGTAGTATTTGAATGATCTAGCTGAATTTGAGAACGCAGAAACATATTGCCTATTGGCAGATTCATAGAGAAGTGATGCTTTAAAATTGTAATTCGGTATAAAGCTACTCTTAAGTATGGTAATAACTTATGTAATGCTTTGAAATATAATTAGTCCTAGATCAAAGTAGAAAATTTGTATGAATATTGGCATAATATTTTGATGATTGTAGATAAATATAATTTTAAGAATAACTAATTATAAAGCATTTAAGAACATATTGACATTACAGACCCGAGGACTAAATCTAGATTCACACAGTGAATGGTCCATTTTAACTACTCCCTACTTCTTCAAATATTGAATTGACCATCTCTATTGAAACCTTGGCCAACAGCATCATCCATTCTATCTTAATCCTCCTCTTCCTGGAAATATGATTCTAATAGGTGATAGGCTTGCTCATAAATAATTCTGGCTGGGTGTTTCTACACTTCATTGAGTGCATTTAGTCCATCATTCACCTCAAACATGTGTGCTACAGAAATATCCTTTTGCTTCCAGTCATAGAATCTATCAAGGTCAAGCAGACAGTCAAAGGCTTCCATTAAATTTTTCAGAATCTTTTGGTCTTAAAGGTACAACCCTGATATCAGAGTAGACATCATAAGGTCTGCCCCTCTTTCAAGAATACGTTTCCTTAAGACGAAGTCAGCACCAGTAATTGCATTGCACAGAACAAAGAGTGACTCTCTCTTATGGTCAATATTCTGAGACTTGGCAAGGGCAAGTACTCTGTCAAAGGCTGGACTATCCACAAACTTATCAACTTGAGGCTAGGTTCCTGCTGTAATATTTGACAAAGCCCAGAGACTCTCCTTGATCAAATTTGAATTTGTTGAAAACAGCAAGGATGTCAATCTATCTATCACTCCTTCCCATAAGCATATGTCAGTGATTTGTGAATCATTAGAGGTGAGCATATTGCCAATGCATCTAAGAGCTGGGACATAGACGTATATTTCTTTTTCTGCGAGGCATTGACATATTCTAGCAATGTTTTATTGTTTAGCTGCCTTGTCTATTACATTGTCATTTTGGGTATCACATAGATAACTAATTGTCCAGAGTGCATCTGATAAAATCTCTTCCTCATCTAAGAACAACCCTTGCTCTGCTATGGCTAAGCATTTTAATACCTATATGATTGTAAGACTTAATAATAGTAAAGATCATACAACTGATTCATCAAGGTTTTTAGGTCTGGATATGTTTGACGTTAGCCATATCAAAGTTTTAAATAGTGTTTTACTAATTTTCTGCTTCATTATCTGCCCATACATCACATCTATCAATTCTGTCTCATTTAGGAACAAATTTCTAAGCTTTTCATTTTCAGCTAATGAGTTTCCAATAAACCAGAAGCATTGTTCAATCATTGCTGAGTCATTTTATTTCATTAGATGGTTGATAGATCCAATGAATCCATATTTGGGATAGAAAATAGGCTCAATAACATCGGACTGTCCGTGAGCTAGGTTAGTCAATATCCACACTGTCTCTAACTAATGAAATAACATTGACTATAGAGTGATACTTACTTTCATCATTCTGATGTCCTCAGGACCATCATTGAATTTAAATACTGTACAAAGAATGTCGAGGATGTTTGTCTGTAGAATCTCATCAATAGGTGGCTCCTAACTGGAGGAGATGAATCGCCTGATGCAAGTGATTATAGTCAACTGCTCTAGAGTAGAATAATCTTGGTTTGTCACTAATTTGTTAAGTAGTAGCTGAATCTTCTATGCCTATTAAGATTAAGTATTGAGATGATTGTCAATGGCATAGAAATTATAAGGAGATATTTGCAGTGTTCTTTAAATTTTTTGCTTAAGATTGGTTAGTTTTACTTACAAGTGACTCATCTTTGGCTACAGTAAACAACTCAGGGATTAAATCATTCAGCCTTCTCTCATATTCCTCTGGTTTTTAATCGAATTCTCTGAACCCTCTATACTGCTCGCTTTCTTTGTAGTCACTTTCAGCGTTTTTGTCGAAACACCTTCGCCTCTTTGCTACAATAATATCATTAGTCTTTTGCTTTCTCAAGCTCACAGCGAACTGTTCTCTCTTCTTTAAGGGGTCTTAATAAGTTGCTAAAATGTAGCATGGTTAATCAAATGTTCAAATTTGAAAATAATCAGTATTAGTTGAAACAAAGTATCCTTACGCTTCATGAAATTTTTTCTCTCCTCTGTTCTTGAATCGTCCATGTTGAGTTTGACTTTAAATTTGTAAATTTGATTTATAATTATAAATCTAATAATGCGGTATTCACTCATTTTCTCCTCTTTCTAATTCAGGGGTTTTGGGGTTTTGGGGTTTTGGGGTTTTGGGGTTTTGGGG